ATGCTGGGCTTCTGGTAACATTTAAAGTCATAGTCTCACAGCCTCTCTGCCCCAGGACCCTGACGGGGAGCTGTCCAGGCCCAGACAGTGCCTTTCAAGTTCACAGCTGTGAGTGGGTCCTTTGCATCAGGACTTGGATCAGGGATGGGACACAGCAGGGGACGAGCCCCTCACTTACTGTCTGTCTCAGGAGCTTTAAAGGAGGAAAAGTTTTCTATGTGAGAAGGCCCTTTCTGCTTTTATTTGTTTAAAAAAATTTTTTTTAACATTTATTTATTTTTGAGGGACAGAGAGAGACAGTGTGAGCAGGGGAGGGGCAGAGAGAGAGGGACACACAGAATCAAAACAGGCTCCAGGCTCTGAGCTGTCAGCACAGAGCCCGATGCAGGGCTTGAGCTCATAAACTGTGAGATCATGACCTGAGCTGAAGTCGGACGCTCAATGGACTGAGTCCCCCAGGCGCCCCCCTTTCTGTTTTTAAATGGACAATTTGTGAAGAGGAGGTCTGGGATGCTCTTTAATCCTCGTGGTGTGTATGGCCTTGTCTCATTTCCAGCGTCCTCACTGCCTGCATTGACGCTGATTGTAAGGTCTGAGTCTCAGTCATCTCACAAGGCATCTGGATGCACACCTAGGAATCTAAGGGGGTAATTAAGCACTTGCGGAGTAGAGAGCAAACTGCAGGTACACACCAATTACTACACCCGGCTGCGGCGGGCAGGGGAGAAGGGTCATGGTCAAGGGAGATTTGTTAGATAATGAGAAGCTGACAGCTCTGAAGGTCTGTTTCTTTCTACATAATCATACAAGGGCAGCCCAGCTTTATAGATAAAACACGGTGTGATCACTATTTGGCAAGTGAGAAGAAATGACCTGAAAATGTTATGTCTTATAGGGATTTCTAGAACGTTCCTTCATATAAGTGGCAAAGAATGCCGCACCTTTGTGTGTCCTTATCCTTTCCCCTGTGTGAGCACATGCAGGTCTGTGAGCCCTTCCCGATTCCGACTGAGCTGACAGCCCACAGAGGTTGTGCAGGGATTGGAGGGCGGGTGGGGGGTGAACCCGGTGAGCTTCAGAGGAAGAAGGCTGCTGTTGTGACAGGATAAACAGTGACGGTATTTTAGAGGTTGTGGGGTTTTGTGGATGTTGGAGTAGATTTTTTTGTGGCCAGGAAAAATTTCTGAGTGGTCTTGATCTGCCCCCCTCTCCCCTGCAACCTTGATATTTTCTGTCTGTCTCTTGAGTTTGGATAAATTTTGCTGAAGAAATGAAAAGAAATCTGGAGGGAAAACCAGAACCATCACAGAGGCCAGTGGGGGTCAGAGGTCATGTCCTAACCTGCAGGTCACCTGAGGATGGTGTGCGAGAAGCGCACAGGTACCTTGTGCCCTCCCACCTGTGACCATTTCACGGGACTCTAGAAAGTCTCATCAGAGGCTTTGAAGGAGCATTCAGGAAACAGGACAATGACTCGGTGGGCCGAATGTGTTTTGAGACAAGGGACCTCAGCCCTGTCTTTGAAGATGTGAACTGCTCCATGAGCCTCGAGAATTTTCTAAGGGAAAAACAGAGATGAGATCACACAAGTGGATTTAATGCCCAAATTATTTGCCTGTGTTCAGTCTTCATCCAGAGATAAACAGCTGGAAAATCGGTGGTTCTGTGTCTGTGGATGGGTCTGACGGTTGTTGTAAGGAGTTTTACCATGAACTTTATCATTTGGGAACCTATCTTTTTTTTAAGTTTATTTGTTTTTGAGAGAGGCAGTGCAAGTGCGGGAGGCTTGGAGAGAGGAAGAGAGAGAATCCCAAGCAGGCTCCGCGCTGTCGGCTCAGAGTCCGACGCGGGGCTTGAACTCATGCACCGTGAGATCATGACCTGAGCTAAAGTCAGACGCTGAGCTGACAGAGCCCCCCAGGTGCCCCTGTGACATGTTTTTAACAAAACTATCCATACACTGTTCAGCCGGATCCAGTGTGTACCCGTAAATCAGACTTTTCTCTGCTTCTCCCCCTGAACTTTCCAGAGCGCTCAGATGCAGACTTAGCTCATGGACGGTAGCGTTTCTTCAGCTCCCTGAACTGGAGACAGTCACAGGTTTTTTGGTCCTATTGTTATTTTGCTTTGAAAATTGTTGCCATAAAGGGATTGCCCCATGCGCCCATGGCACGTGTCTGGAGGCAGGGATGCACGAGAAGAAAGAGCCGTCATTTCCAACTTCGCTCACACCGCCGCCGTGTCTCCCAGGCGAATAAGTGAAGTGACTTCTCAACGCTCCTTCAGGTCCACGGGGAATTTAGTCTGAGATGGTCTTGCCGTGAGTCATGGCTGCAAGTTGGATCTGAAGTAGCACCAGGACCTCGGGGCAGAGTCTTATGATCTGTAAGTGGAGACTACCCTCTGTCCACGTGACGTTTTACTGATTGCGGTAACAAGGGAATGCGAACTTTCCGAATCTGTGGTATTTTATCATTTTGTGCGTGAGAAGCCTGTCATGGGAAAGGTGAGTTTGCTTAATATCTCATGACACAAGTGTATAAAATATTTAAATGCCCCTGAAGGGGAAGTCACCTTATAAATAAAACACGGCTTTGCTCAGCACTGGCTCCGCACGAGCCCGGGGTGCCAGGTGCGGGGTGCCGGGTGCGGGGTGTGGGGTGCCGCGTGCCGGCCTCGGGGTCAGCAAGCCTGCCTCTTGTTGTCTCGCTGCTGTCTGCCCCCCGCACCTGCGCGTGAACTCGTTAGGTCTCCTAATGCTCTTCCTGAATATCGGCTGAGCGTTTAATTGACACATGGAAGAACCGATTACTGGAACTTCTGAGAACACAAAACCGCGAGCCACTGCGCGAGCGGAGGGCTTACAGCAAGGGCTCAGTGCCGTTGCTCAGAACCTGCATTTATTTCCAGGAGTCTGAGTATTTCTTTTCGACCTGAGCAGGTGGTGCTTAGGGACAAAAGCCCGTTTGTAATCCTTCGCGGTCTAAACACTCACTCCAGAAGGTCCGCACCTGCTCACGGGAAGCAGAAAACTAGGGGCAAGAGAGGCCGCGCTCTGCCCAGGGCTGTTGTGAGCTAGCGGCCACTCTCTGTGCCGTGTGAGCCCCTGCGGGCACCGCTCCCCCGTTGTCACCCCGGCACACTGAGGCCCTCGGGGGCTCTGAACACGGGGCCTCTGCTCCCATGCTGGAGAAAGTTGTAGCGATCACCTCACTTCCTGTCTCCCTCTGATGGGTGGATCTTCGCCCCGAGAGCCCGCACCTGCTCGCGGCAGCCTCTGAAGATGAGACCCTCTTCCTGTTCGGGGCCAACACCCCCTCTCGTGGCAGCTTCAGCCCTGCCCCGACAGCATCCCTGGAAACCTTACCTCGTGGACCTTGCTGCCTCCCCTGAGTGCTGGTGCGCCCTGCTCAGCCCACAGACTCAGCAAGTCCTCTCTCACAAGGAAATCCAGGAGCCTTCCTCTGACCGGGCGCTCCCCCTGATACCTGCCCTCCTCCCCTCTCTCCTAAGCAGCATGGGGATGACAGGAAGGACAGACATCTACGTTACAAGATGTCATCAGAGTTACGGTATGAGCAGACCAGTGCTAGAGCAGCCGTGGGCTGGTGCCCATGACTCCTACGTGGGGCCCCCGCATCTTTCAGGAATGGCTGTGCCCTCACCCTGTCTGCCTGTCAGTTTCCTAGATGCCAGTGCGAGTGACACTGTAGGCATTTCACAGTCTCCTAGCAAGACATGGATCCAGGTGGGTCCACCTGCTCTCATGACTCACTGGTAGACCCTGCTCCCCGGGGTCTATACAGCAGGTGGTCGGGCGTTAGGAACAGTACAGTTACTCTGCACTGCAGCCCAATGCTGGCAGATGTCGGTGGGTTTTGCCTTTAACATCCCTTCCCGTTCAGGCTGGGGAGGTCATGGCCAAGAATAATTTGGTGTCAAATCCTCAGAGGCACAGACTGACGCAGGACAGTCTGGCTTGGCCGGCAGTGCACGCCGACCCCTCTCTTGCCCCCAGACTCCTGAACACCCCCTGGAGGAGGGTCCTGAACCTCCAGAGAGAGGTGACATTTGGGGAGTGTCTAGGGTGCATTTTCTGGGGAGAAGGTAGCAGGCTTTCATATGCTGCTGACTTGTCCATAGCAGTGTTTGAGGCGTGCTAGGTAACTGAGTTCAGGTTTATGTGTCCTGAAGGATCCCAGGGAGGCAGAACTTATCTAAAATGGCAGCTAGGAGACTCCCCACCACCGCTCCAGGGCACAGGACTGACCTGAGAAGTGAGGGCCCATCCAAGGACCCGTACCTGGGATTCCTCGAGGCTTTGCTCTGGCCAATCACTGCCCCCACCTTCAGGGTTCCTGTCTGTCACCACATCTTCTACCAGAGGCTCCTGAGGCCTCCCTCAGCGCACATCCCCTTGGCACGGAACACGGTTCGAAGGCATCCCTGTGATCCACCTGTTTCCCCGGACAGCAGTCCCTGCAAAGTCAGCACTGTTCTTAATTCCTAGTGAGTATTCAGTGGCCTGGAGCGTAGAACAGTGGTGTTTGCCGAATGGAATCGGGATAGGGGGCTGCTTTTCAAGCTGTGACAGCCTCTAAGTCCAGGTGAATTGATTTCTGGCTCCCTGCGCTGGGGCTCACCGTGGCGGGGCTGGTGGCCAGCCCCAGGCGAGCGTGGTCTGGGAGGTCTGGTGACTGACCAGCTCTCTTCCAGGTGGCGGACGGCCTCTGGACACAAGGTCCCGGCTCTGGAGTGAACTTCTCTTCTGATGCTAGTGTATCCCAACGCAGAGAAATACTCCTAAGAATATTTTCCATTTGCATGTTCCAGAGGGGATCATCAAACTATAGAGAAGTCTGGGAAAAATTTAACAAGATACAAGGTTCCTAGTATCTAGTTTGATAGGCTAATATTTTGGCTTTTTTTTTTTTTTTTTTTTAGTCTTTCTTTTTTGTAGTGAAACCAAAAGAGAAAAAAAGTGAGACTTTGCAAAAAAAAAAAAAAAAATCATGTCAACTTTATTATTTCTCCAGCCCTTTCTGCTCCTCAGCATTACAATACATGCAGTTTTTTCAAATGTAACATTTAAAGGAGAAAACGTCATGTGGCCCAGCAGATGAGAGTGTTCAATGGGGAGCCAGGGTCCATCTTCAAGGACGAGAACACCAAGACGTCTAAATACAGGAGAAATCAGGTCGTAGAGTGAAAGTAATCTTTTTTTTTGAAAGTTTTATTTACTTTTTGTCTTTATTTTTTAAGTAGGTTTCATGTCAACATGGGACTTGAACTCATGACCTTGACATCAAGAGTCAGATGTTCTACTGATTGAGCCAGCCGGATGCTCCAAAGTTTTTTTTCTTTAAGCAAGTTCAGCGAGCCCAGGGGTCCTTAGAAAAGCCGTGGGAAAAAGAAAACATTGAGTCTGTTTAGATATAGAACCACAGATTGGGGGGGTGGGGGTTATGACAGAAGAAAGTGTAAACGTCACCAGTGTCAAACATATAAAATAACGTGAGACACTGGAACGGTGAAGATGAGGCAAGTCTGTCTCTATTTCCTCAACTCCTAGACTACTGAGTCCGTAGAGAGTATTTCAATTTGATAAATCACAGGTACAGGTATTGAATGACTAGAAAAATGAAATACTGTAGTTTAATAAACCAAAACCAAAATGAGGCAGAGAAGTGAGCAAATGTCCTTGTCTTTCGCGGTGTGTTATTAAGGGAGTCTGTGCAAAGTTGGTGAGTCGAGGAATAGAAGCTTCCATTTATCTTTATGATAAATTAATTAAAACAAGCTGCAGAGGGCTCAACACAATGAAAACACACAAAACAAAAAACTGAGAAATTGGGCCAACTGGCAAAAGATAGGAAGCAAAAGAAACCAGAAAACCGGAAATGTAAGAAGTATGGTGACGGAACTGAGACCCAGCATAGCTGTCATGTCAGAGAGGATGTGTGGTAAACACTCACGGAAAATAGTCTGATGGTGTCAAAGCAAAGCTGCTTTTCCTGTAAGTGGTACCAGGGGATCTCTGAACATGGCCGACTCTTCACTCGACCCAGAAAACCCTACAAAACCATGGAAATCCAGAGGTTCAAATCTTCGTGTTGACTTTAAGAATACGAGGGAAACTGCCCAGGCCACCCAGGCTGTGCGTATCCAAAGAGCCACCAAGCATGCGGAAGGCTGTCACTTTGTGGAAGCAATGTGTGCCATCCTGTGGCCACCATGGTAGACTTGGCCAAACGGGCTGGACGCAGGCTCAGTGGCTTGCAAGAGTGCTGATATTCTACTGCACGTGCTTCAAATATGCACAGAGTGGTGCTGAGCCCACGGGGTTAAATGCAGACTCTTGGTCACTGGGCACATCCAGGTGGGCAAAGCGCCCAAGATGCGGTGCAGAGCTTACAGGGCTCACGGTCGGACTCACCCGTGGGCAAGCTCCCCCTGCCACTTGGAGACCTCTGACAACAGATTCTTCTGAACCCAGAAGAAGGGGTTGCACAGAAGAAAGAGATGTCCCAGGGAACCCGAAGAGATGAAAACTTATGGCCTGGGAGTAAATTCTGCATGAAATAAAAAACAAAGCAAAAAAAACCCAAAACCCCAAAACCATAAATAAATAAATAAATAAAACCTACCTATTTATATAAAAAATTGTATCTGTGAAAGATTGACTATGGAAGTCTGGACTGAAAGGCTTTCAAACAAGGAAGCAGCTTGCAGTATAAAAACAATCCAGGCTAACTCGAGAAGCGGGCATTAAATAGCTCACTGTGACCGTGACAGTGCTCTTCGGAGAGAGGCCGTCCCGGGGCCGTACGCCAAACAGCAGCACGGGAGCTCGCGAAACAAACCTGCAGATAACGCAGGAGAAGAACCACAAAGTGAGGAAACCTCACCCCTGGCACGTTATGTTTGCTCTGCACCATCCCCTCCAGCGTCAGAGCCGCGTGCACCACCAGTGCCCGGGCCCAGGGCGAGGCTGGACTGCAGTGTTGCACGCTGGTCAGAGAACAGGGTCTGAACGATTTCTGCTTTTAGGAAATGGTGGAGTTCTTCTCTGGGGAAAAAGAGCACATCATTGTGATATGCTCTGTGGATACTGGAAAGGGAGGCCTACGTGCGGGGTGTGGCTCTCTCTCCATGTGCATATCACATGCGTGTGTATGCATGAGGTATGTATGTGTGTGCCCACGGGGGGCCTCATTTGGTCCCGAGGACTTCGTGCTTTAGTTTTTTGGAAGAACTTGCGGATCCTCCTCGGAGCCAGGGTCGCAGCTACTGGGCTGTAGAATCAGCCTCAAAGCCAGGAGGCTTGCCTGGGCCCGCCTGCCCTGAGGCACCTCCGGTTTCTCTGACGACTTTATCTGGACCCTTCCCAGACCCTGTCTAGGCCTCTCCACTGGTCACCTTTACAGAGCATTCCTGCCGTGTCACCCCAGAACTACAGGCCCCAAACCTTGCAGTCAGCTTCGAGGTGGCACGTGGACACACACAGGTGGAGGTGCTCAGAAAAGAGTGGCTGAAATTATTCTCGGATGGCAGAATGGGATAGGATTCCTGGACCGAAGGTAAGGGGATCGGAACCATGGAGGTCAACTCTGAGCGGACCCAGGAAGGCCGGGTCTCCAGAAGCGAGGCCATGTGCTTTGCTCCGAGAAGCACAGAGCATCGATGTTTCTGAGGATGAGATCAAAGGAAATGAAGCAGCTTTCCGCCTACGACAGACTTGAGCAGTCCTATGCGAAGGGTGTCATGGCAGTTTTCTTCTAGAACCTCGGAGAAAGGTAACAAAGAGTACTCGAGGAATGTACAGCCGAATGGGCATTCTGCCCCTCTCAGGTGGCTGACAGGTGACACTGAGCCCAAAGGTGTGACCCCCGTGGTCTGAAGTCCCTGTCCTTGTGGGGACAGTATTTTTAGACCCTCATCCTGTTTGTCCTTGTGGCCGGAAGAGGGAAAGAAAACCCAGGAAAGCTTCTAGTCAGCTGAGCCCCGCGTCTCCCAGCTGACCTTCTCCGGGTCTTCCTCAGGTAGAAGGTCTGCCCGACCCCACACAACACCCCCCACCTGAAACGTGTTTGGGCCCATCCTTCCCCCGGAGGACAGGAGGAGGGCTCTGTACCCTCCGCGTGTGTCCTGATGGGGCATTGAGAGGAGGCAGTGTCGCCCAGGGGTTGGAGCGCAGAGCTGGGACGCAGGGAGAACTCTTTGGTGGCCTCCTGAGCCGTCCCCTCCATCCACCCAGCCAACTCCCAGAGTGTAAGTCGCTTTTCCAGGCAGCCCAGCTGAGGATAAGTTTGATAAGTAGGCGCTGAGGAGCCCAGCACCTGCTGGTTTATTTAGCTTATACTTTCTGTTTTTCCGGATCATACTGTGTTCTGATTGTATTTTTGTCCATGTTGTATTTTCCTGCTACATGTTGTATTTACTCTTACAATATTACAAATAAAATCAACCAGCGTGATAACTCCGCGCATGTGAAACGGCGTCTGCATGCTTCGTGGAAATGGTGGTATCCCGGTGGGTTGGACGGTGTCATGGAAACGGCTGTTTGGGGGTCAAAGGGCTTGGATCTGACCCAACTTTGGCACCCGCCTTTCTCCCCGAGTTGGCCGTTTCTGACGCAGACAGCTTAGTGGAGAGATCGAGCTTGCAACACAAGGAAGGGGCTTCCATTAAACCCCCAGTTCTGCTAATTCTATTGCAAAACATTGCAGAGCAGCTGGGTGTGTGGGGCTGGCCTTGCTGTGGGCTCTGCCTGGGACCCAAGGGCTCGGTCGCAAATGGCTGCAGCCCACTGGGGCAGGGACGCCACTGTTCTGCCCTGAAGAGATTCGAACGTGTTCGTGTGTGAGTTTTGCTCAGAAAGCTGGAATTGTTCTTTTAAGAAAGAGCCATTTTAAAAACTAGGTCTTCCAGAAGTGTTTCCTTTAAACAGACAGACAAACAGTCTGGGGCACCTGGGTGGTTCCGTCGGTTGAGTGTCTGACTCTTGATTTCAGCTTAGGTCACCATCCCAGGGTCGTGGCATCGAGCCCCCCTGGGCTCTAGGCTGAGCGTGAAGCCTGATTGTGGTTCTCTCCCATCTTTCAGCTCCTCTCCCCCATGCGTGCTCTCTGTCTCTCTAAAATAAAAAAAATACAAAAATAATTGAAAGAAAAACAAACACCCTCAGGAGACACCCCGGGTGAGGGAGAGACTGAAGAGGGGACAGTGCGGCAAGGGGCTGCGCCCTGTGTGCCTCCCGCCTGGACGGCACCCTGTGGGGGCTGTGCCTTCGTGTCGTCTCCACTGGGTGACGGAAGACCGAGGTGGACACCAGCACGGGGAGCAATGACTGGCTGCATGCGCGGGAGAGATTTGACAGAGGGGCGCACATGGCCCTGAATAATACCCCCTTTGTAAGTGATCAGCACCGTGGATACAAGGCTGTAACTGTCGTTTGCAGCTCCCAGAATGCCTTGCAGTATTGAATGAATGAATGAATGAATGAATGCAATGCTCAAAAGGCACTTAGAAACCTGCCATTAGCCCAGTCCCCACCGGCGCATGCAATAGGCGAGAAGTGCAGGAAGCTGTAAGAGGCACTGGGCCGCGGGCGCACCTGTTTTACTGGCTCCAGAACGTCATGGAAATGCACGAGGGCATCTTCATGGTCTGGGCGGTGAACGCCCTGCTGGTGGGCCTGCGGACCAAGGTCATGTCGCCTTTGTTCCACAGGTAACAACACAGCACTTGCTGTGAGCCAGGTGCTGGGCTAAGTGCTTTTTAAGTATTATCTCCTCCTCCTAGCAACCTATGAGGTGATTCTATTATTGTATTTTACAGAAGAGGAAATGGAAAAGCAGAGAGGTTAAGTCACTTGCCCAGGGCAACACAGCTCATGAAAGGAAGCTGTAGAATTTGGACCCGAGCAGCCTGGCTCTGGAGTCTGGTCTCACGCACCCCACAAAACCGTGTTTGCGATCGATCACGTGTGTGTCTGTGTGTATTGCAGAGCCTTGGCTTAACCCGTCGATGAACTGCCCGATGTCCCCATTCTTTTCCTTCTAACCCTGCCTGTCTTACAAGAGTGTTGGCATCTTACCTGCCCACCCTTTCTTTCCCCCGTGATTTCCCTTTACTCTGGAATGATACTTGTAGCTTTGAAGAATGCTCAAGGCCAGCCTTCCGCTGCAGACACGTAGTTAAAGAGTTTGGTCGCCTACGGCTGACCTTCTGCATATACCTCGTTGATTTCCAGATCTCCCGTGTGGAGAACGAAGTGGTCACGGTTATCTGTACTTTGCAGATGAGGAAGCTGCAGCTCAGAGCATCTGTACCCCAAGCTCGCACACTGGCCGAGTGGGGGTGCGAGTCAGATGTCCCCTCCCCGCCCCGGAAGCCTGCACTGCAGCATTGCATTCATCAGATGCAAGGATGGGGTTTTCAGGGCCCTAGAGTCCTCTAGACCCATCCACCCCCGTCCAGCACTCCCCTCCTCACAGTGCCCCTCAGCTGCCCAGGTCCCACTAACCATGACCGTCTGTCCGTCTCCAGGGGCTCTTGGCTGGCCCGGTCGGGTCTGGCGTGCTGGGCCGTGGTGTCTGGCCGTGCATCTTCTCCTGGATGCATGTCTGCTTGCTTTGGGGCAGGTGCTGACAGACAGAGAGTCTGGGGGTGCTCAGGGCCCCGCTGGAAAGGCCACTTCTGTGCGCCCAGGCTCGCCAAGTAAGCTGAGCCGCTACAGCCGCAGGGCAGCTACAGTCAAGCAGACACTCCAGAGGCCATTGATGTGTCATTATTATTAGAATGGAACCGCCTTGTGAAAGATATGAGGAGTCTAATTATTGAGACTCTACAATACATCCTCTCCCAATTCCTGGCTTGCCACGGGCACCCGCCTTTACCGTGGTTTTCTCTTATTTTTAGAAACTCGTGTTGGGTTAAGTAAAATACACAACAGTATTTTGAGAGGGTCCATCTCATAATAACTGCAATTTGTTTTTTCCGCTCAACAGCGTGTCTTGGAGGCAAATCTCCATTATCCTTTTCAACAGCAGCAGGAGACTGTCATGGTGCATTGAGTCATTTCCTTAGCGATGGGCACTTAGGGCGTTGGTGTGTCTGTAGCAAACAATGATGCATGAGTGCCTTGGGACCATTGTTCTGGCCACGGGCTTCCTCGCGGCAGCCCCAGCTTGCCCGGACAAGTCCCCCGCCCCAGCCTGGGAGCTGCAGCAGCAAAAGGTCAGCGCGGGGGAGGTCCCGCCGTCCGCGCTTCTAACTTCCTCATTTTAAGGATGCGGAAGCAGACTTGGACGAGTGGCTATTTATGCCCACGGAGCAGATCGGATTCCACCAGCCCCACCCAGCACCACCCGTGGCGTTGGTTTGGCCTCCCAGCAACCAAATCTCCCCCGATGCCTGTCCCATAACAGGAGGTGCAGTGTCTATCGAGTGTGCTAGAAACAAGGGGACGCCCAAGGCGGGACTACCCTGCTCGGGTCTGGCTCGCAGAGTCCTTTCCAGGTGTGCTGCGGCATAGCTCTTCCGCCCTGGTCGTCTTCCTGTCGTGTGGGCGGCTGCAGGCATTTTGGGAAGCCTGCTCAAGGAGCGGGGTCCCCAGTGGCACTATCTATGCCTCCAGCATGTGCACTTTTGTTACTTAATTTGCCCTGGTCGGTAATTGCTTCAGTATAAGCCCATTCATTAGTCACACCAGTTTTAATTACAGAGTCCGAGTTGAGATCCTCATGAAATCAATAAGCAATTAATCATCAAATAGCAATATTTGCACTCGGGTGAGCTCAGGTGTTCCAGGGCCTGGAAGTCACTTCCCTTTTCTGTGAAGCTTGTGTTACAGGACTATTAACAGAGAAGTCGCCCTTTCATAGCAAACATGCAACTTCTCTGGAAGTATCTTCTCAAATATCTTGGGTCAAATTTGGGAGTTTATTACAAAGGCACTCGGGCACTTTGTGGTAGGTGTTCAGTGCATCATGATTTAACAGCAAGAAGGCGGGCTTGGCTTTGTTACTTTTTAGGAACCAAACTCCTCTTCTTCCCAGTGAAATGAGGGCGCGGATAGCAAGCTAATGGGGCCACACTAATAATGGGAGACGATATAACTGTAAATACTCAGCATAAACTAGACATTTAATAACTAAAAGGTTTAGGGAACGTCTTGGCGAAATGCAGCCTGACCACCATGGTCGGGCACCGATTCCCCAGTAAACCGTCGGGCATTCACGCCCTCCCCCGCCCGCAGCTGGCAGCCGCTGGCGGCGGGTCTGAAAGGCAGCCCGCAGCACATAGACTTCCAGTACCTTCCGTGTGCTTGTGACTAAGGGACCTCATTAAAGGGAAGTGAAGGCAGACTCACAGCACTGTTTCTGTCTTTGTAAGAAAATGACAAACAAATCAATAAAACAGTCATTACTCTGAAAATCTGTATCGAATATATCTCCCAGGTACAAGTTAATTATGAGAGAAGCTGGGTCATTTCCGGCATGCTGATTTGTATTATTGGAACATTCTGGAACTTAGCAGATAATGCTCTGTGTGTCTGGCACCCCCACCCTTCAGCACCACTCTGGTCGTGAACTTTCACC